AAACATTTTTAAAAACTTTAAAATACGTATCTGTAGGGGGAATTGTATTTTCAAATGTTTTAATTTATTTTTAAAAGTTTCGAGGTAGAACTCCCTTTGAATACGCAGCGTACATTAGCAGCAAGATGCACAAGCGGCAAGATGCATCTCGAGGCTGAGAGCTTCGCAGAAGAGTCTATTTTGCTGGCATTTGGAGAAATAGGGCCCTGCCTTTCTCTGCTGGGCTGCTCATCCATTCTGATTCAGGCACATACACATACTGCATGCATTTAAGTCAAATCTGCCTCTATCCTTTATTAAAAAGGATACCTCCCCACACTGAGGATCCCTGGAGAAATGAACTCATTCTGTCTGGCCTGAGCTGCTTGATTGCTGGGGCAAGTTCCCCTCAGGCTGGGACTCACCATTAAGCTGTCTTCTGGTGATATTTCAAGAACTATTTCAGAGAGCTCACTTTCTTCTGGGGCATGGTTTATTGAATGAGGCCAGTCTTTGGAAAAGCAATTTAGCCATCCTGTATGTGTCAATAACTTGAAAACTGCTCATCTGCTTTGATCCAGTAATCTCCCTTCTGGAACTCTAAACTGAAGCAAATTACACGACATTTCCATTCAGATATCTGTACGCTCTTTGAATCTAACATATTCAAAAGTTTTGATAGGCCAACCAGCTCCTCCTGTTACCTTACTCATCTCAGAAAATGACAACTCCAATCTGCCACTTGCTTGGACTCCAAATTGTAGAGTCCTTCTGGAATCTTCTCTTTCTTTCATAAACCATTTCAAATGCACCAGAGAATTCTGTTTGTTCCATCTTCAAAATATATATTGAGGATTCAGTCACTTCTCATCATATTCATTGCCACCTCCTTGGCATAAGTCGCTATGCTCTGTCTCGTAAATTATTCTTATAACTTTTGATTGTTCTCCTTGCTTCCATATTTGCTCCAATACAGTCAGAATAAACCTTTTTAAAGACATGTCAGACTGTGTCATTTCCCTGCTCAAAACCCTCCAAAGGTTTATCCTCTCACACAGAATAAAACCCAGTGTTTTTACTGTGGACAAGGCCCCGCATGGTCTGCCTGCCGTATCTCTGACCTCACTTCTTCATTTTTTGTTTCTCTCCTTCCTATCCATCCTCAGGGGTTTTTCTGCTGTTCTTCAAGTACATCAAATACAACCTTGCCTCAGGGTCATTATATTTAAGATTCCTTCTTCCTGGCACAACCAGTCCCCCAAATATGCACATGGATCCCTCATTTCTTTCAGAATTCCATTCAAAATCACCTCATCAGAACAGCTCATCCTGAGGCAACAGCACCTTATATAAAAGAGGTCACCCTCCCTGACTCCACTGCCTCTTTCCTCATAGTACTTGCCATCACCTGATATAATTTAAAACTTGAAATGAATTTCTCTTTCCCCCACTGCAGATGCAAACTCCAGAGAGGGGAATAAAACCCCATTTTATTCCCCACTGTACACCCAGCTCAGTGGTTCAGGTAGTGCTCCCAGAAAAAAGGAGAAGTTGTGTTGGAGAAGAGTCATGAGCAGAAAGCCGGACACAGATTAATACCCTTCCCCAAAGTAGAACTTGGACTTGTTATTTTCCCATGAATTGGGTTCCAGCTTCTCTGAAGTAGTCTAGCGGAAAACAAGCTCTTACATATATGTAATCACAATTTTTTTTCCTGAACCATTTAAGTGCAGTTGCAGACAGAATGCCTTATCACTACTAAATACTTAAGTATACTTATCCCCAACTCAAGGACTGTCTTCCACATAGTCACAAATAATCATCAGATCATGTCAACAGCATTGACAAGACACCACTATCCAGTCCACAGATCTTACTCAATTTTTGCCAACTCTTTATTTTTCCTCTCCAGTCCAGGAGCCAACCCAAGATTGTTTGTTTTGTTTAGCTGTCATGTCTCTAAGTTTCCTTCAATTTGGATCAATTAGCTCTTTTGTTTTTCTCTGTTGTAAGGTTGAGAGTTTTAAAGAATGCAGACTTTTCATGTTGTTGGATGCGTTTCCTGGGTCTGTCCAGGGTTTCCCCGTGCTCAGATCCAGGCCATGAGTTCCGGGCAGGGATGCCACAGGAATGCCATGCTGTACTCTTCTCAGAACATCAATAATTATTTTTCAGAAGATACTTCAAACCTAGGCTAATATCCTGTTTCATATGAAACATGCACCCCCCAGCCTTAGCATTCACAGAGGACTCCTGCCTGGATAAACCAACATTGCCCAATAGTGACTTTCTGTTTTCACCAATGTTACTAGTTCAAATTCTGCCATAAGGTAGAGCTGCCCTTCTACCCATTTATTTATTTATTCTATCATTATTCATTTCCTTAGCAAGGTTTTATGAATTCCTGTCTTATCCAGTAGATTGTTATCAGTTACTATCATTATTTATCTTGATGCTCAAATTGTCCCAGATTTGGCCAGTAGGAACTCCTTCTAACTGGCTCATGTGTCCATACAGCACGTTCCCCTCATGCTTTGAGCTTAGGAATACTCCCTACAAAAGTTTCCAGACTAACTCTTTACTTTCCCAGCTCAAGCTCTGATCAGTCCTGGTTCTTTTTAGTGGAGGATGGGTATTTAGCAACCAAGATTTTCCAGCCACTTGATGTGTCCTCTGCTTCTAGCTATGTATATGTGTATGTGAGTGTGTAGATATGTATATACATACATCTATGTGTTTTTAATAATTTCACACTCATTTTTAATCTAATCCAACATCTCATGGTTCTTTATAGCTTGCTTTCTTTCCATATCTATAAACTCCCTCTCCAACCATAAGATATGGCTTCCATTATAGTCAGTATTTTACTTATTTAATTATACAGTCTCCCAGCCAGGATGCTGCCTCCTTGATCCTGACATCTCTTCAGCCTCTACCTTTCCCAAGGGAAAGAATGGGTAAATGGTAGTTATGTATTCTTATTGCTACAGATCACCCAAGTATTGTGACCAGAGGAAAATTAGTAAGAGACAAGAGAGGTTTGGGGAGCCATCTTGGTTTGCTGAAGCATCTGTACAGAACCTAGCTATGGGTTTTAGCACATGGACTGCTCCCCAGAGCTCCAGTGGCTCAGGAATCAGCAGCCAGGCAGTCTCCACGTTTGTCTCTTGGCTAGGCACTATAAAAAACACTGTCCCCATTGCCTCAAAGCCCATTTTCTAAAATGAGTAAGTTAGGAAAACACACAAAACTAGCACCTCAAATGCCACAGAGACAAATTCATCTAAGTAGTTCTTGCACAGGCTTCTAATTTGGGCACACCTGGGGCTCACTGCTCTCCCGATAGCCAGCAACCGTTTGTACAGCTGCTGGGAAAGAATTGCTGGTGGACTGTCATGAACGGAAAGCTGCAAACATACTAACGTCTCAGAGAAAGACGGACTTTCGTTCTCACAGTGCATTGGGTCCTGGGCTCCCTGAAAGAGTGCCAGGTGGCAAGTACAACGTGAGCGATTGACAACGATCCCACAAATTGTTTTAGAGTCTTTACAGGACAGGTATCTCGAGCCAGGGAAACTGTTGGAGGAAAGGATCAGCTAAACATTTAATTGGTAAGGAACTGTGCTGTGTCACAGTGTTAAAAGCAGTACTCTAGAGGCACCGTGCTCTCTGGGACTAGTGTGAGCTCTATGCACAACTGGAGAACACACAATAAACAATAACCACCCAAATCAACCACCCTAGTCTGTTGATGCTGTGAGTCTCCTGCCACCAGTCATGACAACCAGAATAAACACAGTGGAAAAACTATTCTCTCTCACCCAGTTTCTTTCTTTTACAGCCTTAGAAAATATCCATTCTAGAAGAAAACAAATGTCACATGTTCGCTTCCAGATGGGAGGAAAGAAGGCCAATCCTACACTCACCCTAACAGAGTGGTCCTTAATCGCGCAGCCACTGCAACACCCAGGAATTTGCTAGGAAATGTATGCCGGAGCCCTGCCGGAGACATTCAGCAGCAGAAACTCTGTGGCAAGGCCCATCATTTTGAGTTGTAACAACCGCCAGGTGAAGCTCGTGCACAGTAAAATTTGATAGTCCTTACCCTAGATACTCCAGGCATGCTGTTGGAAGGACCTCGCCACCAAGCTGCCTTACCTTTTGGCCCAAGGCTGGGTAATTAGGGAGCTCACTGCAGTTCCTTCTGCAAATGGGGATATTGTTTACGATAGGCTATATTTAAAGCGCACCTAGTTATTTTGTGATGACAGTCGCTTCCCCTTTTGCCTCCACCCGAAGTCGCAGATCGGGTTTAACCTTAGACCCGGCAGGGGTCGCTGCTGCCCTTAATGAGAGACCGAGGGAGCGTGGCAAACGAAGCCCAGAATCTTTGACATCACACTAAGCTCCTCCTTGCACGCACACATTACACACACACACACAAACATATGCAGACACACACCGCGTAGTTCTCTCGGCCCGCTCGCTTCCACTACCCCCGAGCCGGGCCCTCCCGTGGCAAGTCGTGCGCAGCGCAGGCAGCGGCGAACAGAGGGGCGCGGCGCCCGCAGCCCGAGGGAACCGGCGCACCGGCCGCCGGACCTGCTCGCCGAGCGCGGGCGTCAAGAGGCCGGGACCCCGACGGCGGCACCCCGGGCTTGGAGCGGCCGTCCCCGCCCCCGCCTGCGCGGCCGCCACCTCTCCAGCTCCTGGGGCCCCGGTCACCCTTATGAGAGAAGGAGAGGCCGGACGAACGAGCAGGACGCTCGGCCGCTGGACTCCTCGCAAGCCCCAAGCACCCGCTCCTCCCGCTCCTCCGGCGCCCGGGAAGCGACATGCAGCCGCCGCGCTCCGGGTGAAAGGGGCAGCGGCTGGCGCCATCCGCTTGCTCGTAGAGCGGAGCCCGCGGCGGCTGCGCGACCCGGCCAAAGCCCCTCGGGCCCAGGAGTGAGGAGGAGGCGGAGGAACGGCCGGCCGGGGTTGGGGTGCTGGGAGCAGGGACGGGGCGGCCGGAGGGCGCGGGGGCGGGAGGGGGCCCCGGCGGATGAAGGTGGCAATGTCTCTCATCCGAGCGTGCCGCAGTCTGGCTCTCTCAACATGGCTGCTTTCCTTTTGTTTCGTGCATCTGCTCTGCCTGGACTTCACCGTGGCCGAGAAGGAGGAATGGTACACCGCCTTCGTGAACATCACCTACGCCGAGCCCGCGCCGGACCCCGGGACCGGGGCGGCGGGCGGCGGCGGCGGCCCCGAGCTGCGCACTGAGAAGACCGAGTGCGGGCGCTACGGGGAGCACTCGCCCAAGCAGGACGCGCGCGGGGAGGTGGCCATGGCCAGCTCGGCGCACGACCGCCTGGCCTGCGACCCCGGCACCAAGTTCGCCGCCCCTGCCCACGGCAAGAACTGGATAGCCCTCATCCCCAAGGGCAACTGCACGTACAGGGACAAGATCCGGAACGCGTTCCTGCAGAACGCCTCCGCCGTGGTCATCTTCAACGTGGGCTCCAGCGCCAACGAGACCGTCACAATGTCCCACGCAGGTAAGCGGCCCTGGCGGGGGAGGGGGGCTCGAGGGGGCGGCAGCGTCCAGGGGGACCCAGCTCCCGGCTCCTTTTTGGGAAGTCGGCTGCGTGGAAGCCGCGTGCCTGTGCCTTGGACCTACCAAGTTGTGCTCCGCGTCACTTTGGGAGCCTTACAAGGTAGAGAGGAGCAACCGTTTGGGGGAACCAGAGAGTGTGTTCCGCTCAGCTTAGCGCCACTTGGACGAGGGTTCACCGAGGTGGGCTCATTTTTCCTAGGCGGATCTGGGAGATGAAGTTTGGAGGGCAGGTCTCCGCCCGATGCTATTCTCAGTTAGGGAGCCGGCAGATCCGATAACCCTTTTCCGCCCTCGGGTGTGTGCATCAGGTATAGTCCTGATGCAGGCGTCTGTGTGTCAGGAGGTGGGTAGGGTTACTGTTACTGGCAGCTCACCACTGCGAACTTGCTCCTTCAAATCAGGTTTCAGCTCTTCCTGGGAGATTGAGTTCCCTCCTGGTGGGTTGACACACGTGATAAATAACATTAAAGCCCAGGGCTGCCCGGCTTGTCATCCGTAGAAGCTGACAGGCAGGCACGAAGGTAAATAATAACAATCCTCAGCAAGCCAGGAAGAGCACAGTGGTCCATAAAGTTGTGCCTACTTTTCAAGTTTTGCATTATCCTTTACCTGATTGGGAGGTTAAATATGACAAAGGTTTTCTTTCTGGTGAGAATGAGGCGATTTCAGGGTAGAAAGAATATGTTTTTCTTCATGCTCACAGGTTGCCCGGACTAGAAGTAGGTTACCGCCTCCAAACTCGCTTTTTATCCGTAAGCCTGTCGTAGGTACCAAAAAAAAAAAAAGGCCCTTTCCAGGCTTGTCAGTATAAGCAGCTAGTTTTAGCAGACTCACCTCCCTGAGTCCAGGGCTTTTCCTGTGCTTGAGAGGTGGGTCCTCCTTGCCCAGAGGGGTTCCTGTGTTGAAGTTGTGACATCCAGAGGGAGGAGGAGGGGATAGAAATGACTGATGCATTTTCTGACTGGAGTCACTTAATCAAAAATACTTTCCTTAAAAGCCAGGACAGAACCCTTATGCCACTGAAATGAAACACCAAACTTTGACTACATTGGGGTGGGGGTGCATTCTTTGGGGAAAAGTTTTCATTCTGAGATTTGCTACCACCTGTTAGTGAAATACAAAATCGGATTGCCTCTGGTAATCACCAGCTGCTTTAAACAAGGAACTTGTCAGCCTTAAACAGGTGGTGCAGAGAAAGTTCAATGCTTCTACAGATAGGCCAGAAAATTAATTAAATGAAGAGATGAGACAGTTAACATCTTAGAAAAGTTATCATAGAGCATTTAGGAACATTGGATATACTTTCTGGAGTGCAACAGTTTTGTGGGTGCAAAGATTGTACTCTAGCCTTGAGTCATAGGAGCACTACTTAAACTTTATGATAGTCAATGATTTGGAAGACAATGGAAGAACACTTTAACATATAAAGTATCTTTAAATATATTTAATGTATAATCCTCTATTGGGGTGAGGTTCTTTAAACTCCAAGATTGTTAGCTGACTTTACAGGATTTTTAAAATTTATTTGTACACATGCATAAAATTCTAAACTTGGCTTCTTTGAATACCAAGAGGCACATCATTTGTTCCTGTCTAAGAAGGCTCTCCAAAACTCGCAAAACAATGGATCAATTAATGGCTCACCTATTCTTTAACAAAAAGCAGTAGGCTGACTTTCCATACAAATGATGCTTAGGACATAGTGGGAGTAAAGACTTTAGTAATAGATTGAAAGTTAAAGGCTAAAAAATGTAAAGGAAATTCTCTGCTGTTTCTAAAAATGTGTTTTTGCCCTTTCTGCGAATAGCCTTGAAACTTTAATATTTAAATTTGACATATTGCCACATTAAGAAACTGTATTCAGAGTTAGCATTGATTTCTGCTAATGTCTCATTACCATGTATCATAAGGAGACACACAGACTCGGTGGCTTGGCAAACCTTTCACTTCACTCTTAAATTCTTCTGCCTGAATCTCTAACACCGAGATGGCAGCACTGGTCTGGCTGTCAGTGCATTACACTTAGCTCCAGAACTTGAATGCTTTACTTTTTCTAGTTATAGTTCAGTCATATTTCTAAATTAAACTTAGAAAATAGTGTACATTTTAAACACTCATTGCATATTATTTTGTGAACATGGTATGCAGTATACCATAGTAGCCTTACATTTGTGAAATTTTTAATTCAGAGTCTTTTGCTCTTTTAACATCAGCTTTTTTTTTAATCTCACCTTTCCTCTAGATCCTTTATTTTTGGAACTGATAGCTTCCAAGGGAGAAGGTCTGAATTTAATTATGCAACACTATGTAATATCTGTGCATTTCAGGTGATGGTGATATGGTACATAATTTCCCTTTCTCCTTTCCTATAGCCTTTGTTTTTGTTTTTCTTAAATTGCTTAAATTACCTTGGGTTTCTGCCACTTATGCAATTGTGGTTTCTCATTCACACAGAGATTCTCCTGGAATAGATTAGTAGTTTTACTTTGTAACTAGTTTAAAAAAAAATCTTTTTAAAGAATATGACAGCTTTATTAAGAGAGAATTCACATGTCCTCCAGTTCACTCATTTAAATTATACAATTTAATGGTTTTACTATACAGAGTTGTACAAACCTCACCATTAATTCCAAAAAGAAACCTTGTATCCATTAGTGGTTCTCGTCTGTTTCCAATCTCCCGCCCCTAGGTAACTGCCTTACCTGAGGGTTTCAGCCCCAGGCAAGTTCACTACACATTCAGTGAGACTGAGAAATGACAGTGAAAGGTTCTTGGCATAAAAGGGTTTATAGGTTGAGCACTAGAATCATGTCTCCATCCAATAGTCTGTAGGTCCATAATCCACCTTGGTCCCTACCTCTGCCCAGAGCACTGGGCAGAGCTCTTTATGTAGTGACTCAGTCAATAATAGCTTATTGACTAAAGGTGTGGAAGCAGTGGTCTAGCAGTAAGCCAATTACATCATCAATTAGTTTAAGGTCAGGTGAGGATCCTGGCCATAGGAAATTTCCATTTTTCCCACAGTAACCTACTTTCTGTTTATATATTTGTCTATTCCAAATGCTTCATATACGTACACTCCCTGACTTTAAATAGTTTGTTTTAGGATTATTTTACTTGTGATAGTGTGAAAGCAACATGCTATTTCAATCCTTTTCCAGGCTAGCGATATATAGTACAGTATTTTCATGACGCTGGGCAGTGGCAGTGAGCCACAGCTCCCAGTCAGCCATGCAGTCATGAGAGTAAATGACCAGTACACTTACAACCATTCTGCACCCAGACACCCATTCTGTTTTTCATTTTCAGTACAGTATTCAATAAATTATATGAGAAATTCAACACTTTATTATAAAATAGGCTTTGTGTTAGATGATTTTGCATAAATGTAGGCCAGTGTAAGTGTTCTGAGCACTCTTAAAGTAGGTTAGGTTTGGCTTATGATGTTCAGTAGGTTAGGCATATTAATATGTTTTTGACTTATGATATTTTCAACTTACAGTGGGTAGATTGAGATGTAACTGCATTGTAAGTTAAGATCAGTAAATATGTAATGCATTTTTTGTGACTGGAGTCTTTAACTTAGCATTCTTTCAAGATCTATCAGTGCTGTAGCCTGTGTTGGTACCTCATTCCTTTTTGTTGCCAAATAATATTTCATTGTGCTGGTATGCCACATTTAATTTATTCATCAATTAATGGGCATTTAAAAGGTTCTTTCCACTTCTTGGTTATTAGACATAATGCTGCTAAACATTCATGTCCAACTTTTTGTGTGGACCCCTCTCTGTGTATATACCTACAAGTGAAACTCCTGAGTCATATGGCAACTCTATGGTTTAACCATTTTAGGAACTGCCATTGTTTTCCAAAGGAGCTGCGCTATTTCAAATTCCCACTAGCAGTTATGAAGATTCCAGTTTCTCTACATTTTCATCAATACTTGTTGTCTTTTTGATTTTGGCAATTCTGGTTGTAGTGAAGTGCTATCTTCCTTGTGATTTTCACTTGCATTTCCCTGCTGACTATAGTACTTTTAAACATACTCTCAATTTTTCTACTTTCCATTTTTCTCCTTTTTTCCTTGCTAGCCATTATTTGTCCTTTCCTGGATTTTGAGCTCATACACCTTTTGTACTAGCAAAGAGGGGAAATCTATCCCTTTCAATTGAAAAAAAAAAAGCCCATGGACGTACAGTTTTATATATCTCTAGAAAAGGGTGTGAGGAAATGCCTCAACAGTGATTTAGAGAGTCCCTAAGTTTTCAAAAACTATATAGTAAAAAGCAGCTCAGCCAGGTGAGAGCCGCAGCAAGTGGGCTTTCAGATGCCGGGAAAGGTGAGGGGCAGCTCCTAGGAGCTGCCCAGCTGCTGATTATGGTAGAGTCTGAGTAAAATATTTTCAGAAATTTCTAGAGGCAGTTCTGAGAAGTAGTTAATTAGGAGTGTAGCCTCTAAAGCCACTGGAGTTTGTGTCCTGGCTTTGCTACATCTTACTGTGTTTCTCTGAGTACACTATCTGACCTCTCAGGGTTTCAGTTTCCTAGTCTGGGAAATGGGGTATCTGCCTCACTTGGTTGGTAAGGGAATTAAATGAGTCAGTACATGCACAGTACTCACATCTATAGCTGGCACATAGCAGTCAATAAATGTTAACCCTTATAAGCTTTGTACACAGTGACACACAGGAGCCGCCAACTGGATCATCAACCCCCTGGGGCTCCCTGAGGTCCTGGCAACCCTGGGGAAAAGCTCTTTATTTACTCTCTTGCTTTAGAGGCCAGAGCAGTTGTGCCAATTTATTTGTGGCTTCTGATTTGAGCCGGGGTGTACCAGCTTCTAAAAAACATTTTTTTTTGTTTTTTATGTTTGTTTATGCTTTCTCTTGGCTTAAATTGAAATCTTGTCATAACAAGGTAATAAACATGGTAAATCGAGAAG